CGCTCTCGGAAGAAGCAGCGGGGGCATCTCCCTCGGACGGCGCCGCGGCGGCGGCGGCCTTGGCGGCGGCAGAGCGGGACTTGACGAAGTCGAGGAGGCGGCTGCTGACCTCCTTGGAGTAGAGCTGCAGCGCCTTGATGCCCTCCTCCACGGACGCCGACGCCGCCCCTGCTCGCCGTCCTCCGCACCCCGTCTCCGCCGTCCTCCGCGCCGCCCTCCAACCTCGACGGCGTGCTCGCCATGGGCGGCGGCCGGCCGCGCTATCCCCTCGCCATGGGCAGATGCACGCGCCAGCTGCCCAGCTGCTCCCCAGCCGCCCGCGCGCCGCTTCTCCGCCGCCATGCCGCCGCCGCCGCCTGCCGCCCTTCTCGCGGCGTCGGATGAGAAGAGAAGAGAGAGAGAATGAAGGGAGAGAGATTGACGTGGTATTCTGACATGTGGGTCTCATGCTGACTCAGCAGCCACGTAGGATAAAATCGGGATCAAAACCCACCTAGAGACCTATTGTGACCGATTTTATATAGTTAAAGGACCTCGTATATCTGGTTTTGCGGTTGAGGGACGATTTTGTAACTGGATGACAAGTTGAGTGACCTTCGGTGTACTTTTTCCTTCCCTGAATGTTGTAAGCCGAGTACCAGCAGTTTCTTTACTTCCAATCGTTTTCTTTCCCGCTGTTCACTGTCTTCCCGTTATCGCCTCGTCCTTTTACTCGTTTCACGTCTCCCCGCCTGTGCCCTCCATCCCAATCCTTTTTCCTTGTCTTCTCCTAAACCGCGGCTTAGGTTTTGGCGACAACTTGTTTTTCATTGCGTTTTCGAGGGGGATATTTTGCTCCTCTGGCTCTTTTCCTGTTTTTGGATCCTCTGTTCTGTTTTGGTTCTTCCGTCGCCTAATCTCTCAGCATGAGAATTCTATCCTGGAATATCATAGGCTTAGGAGACAAAAAGAAAAAAAATCTCTACTTCTGTCCACTCTGATTGAACATAGGCCAGACATAGTTTGCTTGCAAGAGACCAAGCTTGCATCCATAGACAGATTCACAATGCCAGCTCTTCTTCCTGTTTTCCTACGAGATTTTCATTGGCAGCCTGCTCTCGGCTCAGCTGGGGGCTTGCTAACAGCTTGGGACTCCAGAGAGCTGCCAACCACTCTGGTTCACGAAAACAGCGACTCCATCTCCTGCACTTTCCACTCGAGAACAGACCAAACCAAGTTCTGGGTCACTAATGTATACGCCCCCCATTCGGAAGATGAAAAGCTAATCTTCTTTAATCAACTTTCAACGCTCAGAATTGCAAACAAAGAGCTATGGTGCTGCATTGGGAATTTTAATATCTACAGATACCCTTTTGAGGAAAACAACGACAACTTAAACACAAGAGGAATGGTGGGTTTCAACTGTTGGATAAATGAAGAAGGCCTTGTAGACATTGACATTCCCAACAGAAGTTTCACTTGGTCTAACAAAAGAAGAAATCCCACACTGGTGAAGCTTGACAGGATTCTTGTCGACACAAGCTGGAACCAATCGTTCGCAACCTCATCTGCCAGAGCCCTAGTGGCGACAACTTCGGATCATATCCCTATTCTGGCCGAGTGCTCAAACAACTCAAACACATTCCGATATTTTTCGTTTGGAAAATTTCTGGCTACAATTACCAGATTTTGTCAGCTGAGTGGAAGAAAGCTGGGTTCAAGGTACAAGACCAATGAGAGCAATCACGAAATTCAACCATAAACTAAGAAGATTAAGAGCTAGGGCCAAGGCCTGGAACAGAAGAAAACGAAGCTTGCCAACCCTGTTGTCAGCAAACAAATGCACTCTTGAATATCTTGATAAGATTGAGAAATGGAGAAGCCTGACAAACCTAGAGTTTTGTCTGAGGCAAAAGGTTTTTAAACACATTGAATAAATAATTAAATTGGCACATCAAACTAAAATGGCAAAGAACGGCCAGGATCGGATTCTGCACTCTGGGAGAGGAGAATAACAATTTTTACCACACAGTAGCCTCGGTCAGCAGACAGAAAAACGATTTAAATTTGAAAATATACTGTTCATTTAATTTTTTCTCAGGAATATTCGGGATGCAAACACTTTTGCAGAAATATACCGTCGGTCTCGCACAACGTACCGTTGCGCAAAAATGACGTGGGAATGACGTCGCATGTGGTATCGCACGGTCTCGCGGAATGGAAGAGCGAGACTACTGTGATTAATTATCTGGATTAGCGATTAATTATTAGGTCTAAGAAACCAGCGACATTGTACAATGGGCTTCATTTGATTAGTAATTAATTACTTAATTAACAATTAACTAATAATAATTAGTGATTAATTATCCGGATTAGAGATTAATTAATTAATTAATCGCTAATCAGGATAATTAATCGTAATTAAATCGCAAGGCACCGGTATTGTTGTTTGCTTGAGCGATATCGCTGATTACTTGAGCGAGACCGCGCGGTTGCTGCGTGGAGACGACGTCACCTGGCGGCGGCGTAGGTGGCCGGCGTGGAGATGTAAGCCTTCAGGCGGCAACAATGTGGTAGCCAAGTAAGGCAGCCCTCCACGGTAGGTATGGCTCGAGGTCTCGGGTACGCCCACCCGGACATGGGCCTCATGCTCGATCTTCAGAAAATACGGGTCAGTAGCTATGCCCAGTAGCCCCCTTACGCCGAGGTAGAATGAGGTTAATTCATTGTAACTTGGGGTAAAAAGTACACTTATCTTCTTGGAAAAGAGAAGCCGGGTAGCCTCCTGACTCCATGCCGGGATGACTGGGGTCATCGCGAGGTGGAGTTGTCTTGCACTTTTGCAGCGAATCAAGTCTATAGTCTTCCACTGTGCCACTGGATGGTTTTGAGCCATGGGGCAAGCAGGTAAGGTACACCTGGCTTAGCCGGCCAAGACATGGCCAGGGCCGACTAGGTCGCCGGCAGGTTTTGAGCCTCCGGGCGTAGCAGTACCACAGACAACAAGGACTATCAAGCCCAAGTGCCTGAGGTCTTCGCTCAACCCCTAGGTGGTTGCCAGCCACCTGCGGGGCCAACCGGGAGTAGGTGGCCGGGAGGTTTTAAGCCTTTGGGCGTGGCAGTACCATCGGTAACAACGACCGTCAAGCCCAAGAACCCGAGGTCTTTGTTCAACCCCCTAGGTGGTTGCAAGCCACCTGCGGGGCCGACAGAAAAAGGACTCCTGCTCAGCCGGGTAGGGCGTGGCCAGGGCCAAGTGAGGGGCTAGGAGGTTACAGGCCTCCGGGCATGGCAGTACCAAAGAAAAGAAGGACCGTCAAGCCCAAGAACCCGAGGTCTTCGATCGCTCGACTCCTAGATGGCCGCAAACCATTTCCGAAGCCGACAGAAGGGGGGACACCTGGCTCAGCCGGTAAGGTCTGACCAGGGTCGGATGGGTGGCCTGGAGGTCGTAAGCCTCCGAGCGCGGCCATACTTCAGGTAACGAGGACCGTCAAGCCCAAAAACCTAAAGCCTTCGCTCAACCCCTAGGTGGTTGCCAGTCACCTGCGGGGCCGACAGAAAAAGGGACACCTAACTTAGCCAAGTAGGGCATGGCCAGGGCCGAGTGAGTGGCCGGGAGGTCACCAACCTCCGGGTGTGGCAATACCACAGGTAATATGGACTGTCAAGCCTAAGAACCCGAGGTCTTCGCTCAACTCCTAGGTGGTTGCCGGCCACCTGTGGAGCCGACGGAAGAAAGGACACCTGGCTTAGCCGGGTAGGGCATATGGCCAGGGCCGAGTGGGTGGCGGGGAGCTCGTCACTTGGTCAGAGCGACAGCTCATTGTTTTCTTTTCCTTTTTTAATATATTGATGATCGCTTCTTCATTTTTAATATTTCCTGATATAAAATTCATAAATTGTGAAAGAAATTGTAAAAGTTTCAGACAAATTAAATGCATAATAAGTAATAACTTTTAGGGTCTATTCATACATGCACACTCTAATCCATAGGTATTTTTCAAGAGATTTGAGTGGATAGATATTTTCTATGTTTTTCTCTCTACAATTTATAAGAAAGAAAAATTTCATTTGGTTTTCCTATAAATACATTCGTACGAACCGAATGGCACTCATGGGAATTAATCCATAGAAATCCAAAAACTTTGGTTTTTCTCTAAACCGAACAAGTCCTTAATATTGTTTTAAAAATTCAGTAAAACACCTACACCTTACTCATTTACGGTCAGCCCATCCTTTCACTAGGATTTTATAAAAATCGAATCTAATCTTCATTGGGTTCTATTTTATAGCTTTTATATGTCCCATCGATCAATGTCACCTACTCCATTACGACAGGTTAAGAAATAAATTTATCTAATATTTTAAGGCAACTTTTATATACAAAGTTTTTGCGCAAAATGCATGGGTTAGTAGTTTGAAAAGTGTGCTAATAGAATACGAGAAAAAATCTAGATCTTAATAAAAACGAATGGACCAATAATACCCCTATAAGTGTACATACTTAAGAAATAACTTTTTTTTTGTCACAAGTAGGGCATACGCATAAAGAGCGCCATCCACGTTTCACACGTGTATAACAAAATGATTGTGGCCCAATTGAAATGCATAACATACGAGATAGTAATCTTTTTTCATATAATTTTTTTCGCTCCACTACCAGGCTAAAGCTAGCGTGGCGCAAAATCTAGCTAAAAGTTTCCCGTTGCAACGCACGGGTATTTTTCTAGTTAGCTAAAAAATCAAAAAAAAAAGTGCCTATACTATTCCATTTAAAAAAGTGCAAATTTCTTCGCATTGCACCGATGAAAACTGACAAAAATGGAAGAAAAAGAAGGAGAACAAGCTCTACACCTTTTATATGGAACCCAATCATAGATTTGAGGTCAAAAACCTCCCCCCCCTAATTTGTGTATGTTTAGAAGAGAGAGAACGCCGAAAAAAATGGGCTTGTGTCGGGTTGGTGGCTATATAGCCCGACGATCATCGCATGCGGTCGGATTATCCCGTGAACGGGATAATGCGTGCGGCCGACAGCCCGGCGTCGGTCCACGGATTTTTCCAGCCGGAGCCACTTATGCCCCGCCTGGAAACTAACGGGGCTGGCGTCCAAGAAAATCAATCCTGTAGTAGTGCATGGTCGCCTCTACCGCTCGTCGGAGTTTCATGCTCAGACCTGCTTCAGTGCCGCGCGCTCAAGCATGAGACCGATAATGGGGAAGAGGCTTCGTCATTGCCGCGGCCTACTGTACAAGCTGAAGGCGGCGATTCAAGGGAGGTGTACGGGGGCGAGTACCAGCGCGCCGTCGAGAAGGCGAGGGAGATCTTCTTCTCGGTGAGCTGCATTCCTGAACCCCCTCAAGCTCCCCTCATAGATGTTTTTTTTGTGTGTTTTCATGTAATAATCCATGTATATGGATGTTTCATTAGTTAGATCAAAGTGCTTCTACGGGTTTCCAAAGGTGTTTCATTTTTTCTTTGATTTTTTCTCAGATCTTTGTTGATGTTTCTGTAGCTTAAATCATTTGTTTCATGTGTTGAACTAAATTGTTTCATCCAGTGATCTGATAGTGTTTCTCTATTTTTTAAGCGTTTCGATGACTTAAACCATTTGTTGCATATGTTGATCAAAATTATTTTATCTAGTGATTTGACTGTGTTTCACATTTTTTAAGAACTGAAACATTTTATCTAGTGATTTGATCAAACATTATTTTTTCAAAATTGTTTCACATTTTTCTAATTAGTGTCCCAACATCCGATATTACGGGACTAAAAATAGCCCCTGTGAAACAAATACCACCTTAGTTTCTTGCCAAACTTGAGTAAATTTTATAAAACTGTAGATACTTTGCATAATCTATCATAAAACTATAGATTTAAAAACTTATTTCACAAAAGTAGAGATTTAGTGTTTTTTTAATCACAAAACTACAGATACTTTGTACAATATATATCACAAACTGCATATTTAAGAACTTGTTTCACAAAATTATAGATTTAATATCTTCATTTGTCACAAAACTACAGGTTTAGTGTTTTTATTATCACAAAACTATAGGTTTTAGCATTTGAAGACACTAAATATGTAGTTTTGTGATAAATGAAGACATTAAATGTATAGTTTATAGTTTTGTGAATACACTGAATTTATAGTTTTGTGAAACAAGTTCTTAAATCTATAGTTTTGTGATAGATTGTATAAAGTACATATAGTTTTGTGATAAAGGGAGACATTAAATCTCTAATTTTGTGAAACAAGCTCTTAAATAGTTTTGTGATAAATTGTGCAAAATACATGTAGTTTTGTGAAGTTTACTCTCATAAATACATATCTCACCACGGCGTCCGCTCCTCCTCACGGCCCAACATTGGCGGCCCAGACAGGGGAAAGGGGCCCATGGGCCAGATGAGAATCGGATTCCGATATTGTTTTTTTTTTGACACCCCAATATTGTTTTTTGTTTGATAGGATTCCGATATTGTTTACAACAAATAAAAGGATCCTAAAAAAAGCGCAACAAAAAGAACGGATCCCCCTGTGAAGCGGCTCGAAAGAGGACACACGACTCCACCGAGATACCCATCGAGCAAACCCTAGCCATCCGACCGTGTCGCCATGGCCATGCGCGCTCTGCTCCCCAAGCTGAGGATCCCGGCGGCCGCTTCCCGCCGGACTCTCCCACCGTTTCGCTCTTCATCCACCGCCTCTCAGGTGAGATTCAATCCAATTCGTTCCCCCTCCTCTACCGATACGGACTCAGGTTCTCATGTTCATGTGCGATGCGACACCTCGTGATTTTACACCTGCTTCTACATTTTTTACTCTTCCGATTCACCGTTTACCTATGTGTGCCTTGCCCTTGCCCGTGCCGATGAACCTTTAGACCCTTTGTTTCCTTCAAATTATCTAGTTTCTTTGCTACTACCTCTCTCTCTATATATAGTACTACCTTATATGCGTGTCTCTGTGTCGGAATTAAATCTTCTTTATTTGCCCCCCGAGATGAGCAAATCGACCCTGTTATTTCCCTTTGCCTGTTTTTCTTCATTATTATTTACCAATAACAAGTAGAAGAGTAGCATTTCCTTTTGGTCCCTAAGGGTGTGTTTAGTTCACGTCAAAATTGGAAGTTTGGTTGAAATTGGAATGATGTGACGGAAAACTTGGAAGTTTATGTGCGTAGGAAATTTTTGATGTGATGGAAAAGTTGAGAACTAAACTCGGCCTAATCTTATATAGTAGCTAGCCTCTGTTTCTCACCTAGTCTTCTTACGCGTATGATACTCGCCTCGCTGGCTGTTTTTTAGCTAGATTGATCAAGCCAGTCCTTCCAATTTGATGTTAGATTCACACCTTACTTGATTACCAGCGCATGTATATAGTGTCTTTGCTTCCAGCAGTTCATTAATTATTTCTGGTACTCTGGTTGATTTTCGCTTACCATTGCATCGCCATCTGAATTTTTCTCTTCCATCTTATATGCAACTGCAGGATAAGCTTGCAGCCGTCAAAGAACGCTCTCCACAACTTTATGACGAGTACGGTGCAGATTCATGTTCTATTTTGACATCAATTTCGTCCTTTTAACTTGCCCAACATACATGTTTAACTCTAAAATAAAACTTGCTGACTAATGACTTCTCTTTATTTTTTTCCTCTCCCTCCAAGCCTCTACTGGAAAAATGCTTGTGAACGCGAGGACAGGTTCGAGAGGAAGATTTTGTTTTATCAAGTCATTTTCAATTTCATCGCATTCAACACATCATCTTATCTTTTCGGCTCTTCCAGCGAGCAGGACTAAGAGGAGTAGTGTTAATTAATATTAATTAATTAATAGCACTTTGAGTAATTATGTGGCATCTCTTGTAGTAGCACTTTATTTATGATATCTATCTGCCCCCTCTCTGCATGTAACAACACTTTGAATGTTATCAGTGTGCCCTGAAACAAATGTAGCGAGCAGGACTAAAAGGAGCAGTGTTAATTAATAATAGGTAATGCACTTTGAGTAATTATGTGGCATCTCTTGTAGTAGCACTTTATTTATGGTATCTATGTGCCCCCACTCTGCATGTAACAACCCTTTGAATGTTATCAGTGTGCCCTGAAACAAATGTATGGGAAGCTAACAATTTTTTTGCCATAGAAATTGCGCTCTCTTTAATTGTTTTTCAATCTGTTCAAACTACTCGAGGTATGTATACCATGACTATTTGGGGTGCTGTTTGGAGTCGAATTGAGTTTGTATTGTTTGCTTTAGTTCCATGCATGTATAATAGGTTGCAACCTGAAACCGTTAGAGAAGAACTGAAGTTGTAACCGATATACTATAACATATATACTACTCCCTCCGTTTCAAAATATTTGACACCGTTAACTTTTTAGCACATGTTTGACCGTTCGTCTTATTCAAAAAATTTGTGAAATATGTAAAACTATATGTGTATATGAAAGTATATTTAACAATGAATCAAATGATATGAAAAGAATAAATAATTACTTAAATTTAAATATTTTTGAATAAGACGAATGGTCAAACACATGCTTAAAAAATCAACGGTGTTAAACATTCTTTTTTGCTGATAACATCCACACATGACACATCCAAAAAAGCACTAGGCACTTCCCTCCCGATCCTTCTAGCGTCTCCTCTCAGACATGTGGCAAGCAAGAAAAAGATTACTCCATAAAAAATAAACAATGGGCTATTGGTTTTCATGGCAATTAATTGGCATAATTTAATGGGCTGCACTAATTAAGATCAATTTTGAGACGTCAAATAAGTAAAATAAACATGAACGGTTGTTGTGAAAAAAAATAGGAATACATATTACGATACTGCAGTATGTAACTTACGGACTACTTTATTTGTAACAATCAGGAAAAAGACCACTATAATTACAAGGAAAAAAATCTTGATATCTTTTACACATAATATGGTCGCGCAAACGCGTGACTGAGTGGCTCGTTAAATTAAAATAAGAAAACTTGTAATATTTTAAAAGAAAAACAATAGAACAAGGTAGAGACAGAAAAAAAAAGAATAAACTATCATAGAACTGCGGGAACTGTTATTCAAACTCAGTGCCTTCACGCGAGAGGAAATGCAATATACCAGCAGGCTAGTGCTCCTTCATTGTCTGTTAGCTCTGCGCACCTTTTATATTCCGGAATAGAGGTCAGCGCCAGCTACAATGACGGCGAGCTCAATGGTTGGCGCTGAGGTCACGGCTTATTTTTAGAATTAGTTTTTGATGTAGGTTATTCTTGAAATAAGTTTTATAAAAGGGTCAATTTGTCAAAAAAAATAGCTTGTTCGATTGGAGTTGAATAGTACATATTGGAAATACATATACGAATGATACAAAGCCAGAACATATTGCTCGAAATTTTTTATTAGCAATAATAATAATAATCCTAGTTACTGGAAGGCCTTGTATCAACGACTTAGAACGGTAACCACCATCTCAATCGGGAGGCAACCCCCACTCAATCGGGCAAACGGCCGTCATGAAGCTATCTCAATCGGGCCTCAATTAAAGCCCGATAACTTTGACCCAGACGACCGGTCAAACTATAGCCCATCACGAATGACCTATCTCAATCGGGCCACGACTATCACCCGTCACAGATGACTACTAACCTCAATCGGACCTAGACTAGAGCACGTCACAGATGACACTTATCTCAATCGGGCCTAAACTATAGCCCGTCACAGATGACCATTAACTATAGCCCATCACAGATGAGTATAATAAAAAAAAATTTATTTTTTGGCTAGCCTTAGGCCTTTGTTAGCCATGCCATGCCGTCCCGCCTCTCCCAGGCCAGTCTTTTTTTTTCAGGCCAAGCATGCTTAACATTAAAGTTCTTTGGAAATCGGCTTCCGAAAAAGTAGTTATAACTTGTTGGTATGATTATTCTATTAATCCTATTAAGCCCTGGGCCAGGATGTCACACCCCAACATTCCCCATTCATATACATTCATTCACATACACAACCATCAATATATTTAACACAACCACATTCACATAACATCCATTTTGATCACATATTTCACATCAATTCACATATTTCACTAGCAAAACCGAGTTAATTGGATCAAATATATATTTAGCAAGTATTATCATCAAAAGGAGGCAAATCAGACTTCTAGGAAAAATGAATTTCGAATTGAATTTTATAATACTAAATAAACTCATATGAAAAAGCTGTCAAAAACAAAGTTATAGAACTCATTAAGATCTGTCAAAAATAAAGCCCATCACAGATGAGTCATCAGTGATGGGCCCTATACTAATGCCCGATTGAGATGACCTATTTCTATCGGGCATTAAATAATGCCCGTCACCGATGAGTATTTTTTCCATTTTCCATATGAAATGTTTATATTCAATTTATGTGGTATTTTTTATTTTCAATTTATGAGAACTTTAAATTTAATTTTAGGCCATTTTTGTGTGTCAAATGCAAAAATCACAAACAACAAAATTGTATAACTCATCGAGATCTACAACTATTGTATCGGTCCTTTATACAAATAAGTTCATTTGAACAATTCAAATTTTGAATTTTCAAAATTTGACAACTTCGAACAAAAATTGAGGTTAATAAATGATTTTAAATGGAAAAGTCATCATAACCAAAGTTGTAGAACTCATCGAGGTGCAAAATTTTTATTTTGGTCATTTCTCCATCTGACTCAATTTGAACAATTTGAAATTTGAAATTCAAAGTTTGAGAAATTCAAATAGAATTTTTTGTTAGTGAACGACTTCAACAGAAAAAGTCATCAACAACAAAGTTGTATAACTCATCAAGATCTATAACTTTTATTTTTGTCATTTTTCTATATAACATTTTTTGAACAGTTTGAATTTGAATTTGAAAATATCACAACTTCAAACAACATTTTCAAATATTAAATGATTTCAACTGAAAAAGTTATCAACAACAGAGTAGAATAACTCATCAAGATCTAAAACTTTTATTTTGGTCATTTCTTCATCCGATAAAGTGATAGTAACATTATTCACAAAATTGACATATTTCTTATCTGGTTTTATAAACTATAACACATATATGTAAAATTTGTGAACAATGTTATGAACATTTTATCGGATGAAGAAATGACAAAAATAAAAGTTTTAGATCTTGATGAGTTATACAATTTTGTTGTTGATTACTTTTTCAGCTGAAATCATTTAATATTTGAAAATGTTGTTTGAAGTTATCATATTTTTAAATTCAAATTCAAACTGTTTAAAAAATGTTATATAGAAAAATGACCAAACTAAAAGTTATAGATATTGATGAGATATATAACTCTGTTGTTGATGACTTTTCAGTTGAAATTATTTAGTATTTGAAAATATTGTTTGAAGTTGTTATATTTTTAAATTCAAATTAAATGTTATATAGAAAAATGACCAAACTAAAAGTTGTAAATCTTGATAAGTTATACAACTTTATTGTTGACAATTTTTTCATTTGAAATCATTTACTACCCATAAAATTATTTTGACTCATAAAATGAATTATTATAGTGCAGTTAATTATTTTGCTATAGCTCAACTTACAAATATAAACATTTTATATGAAAAATGAAAAAATACTCATCGGTGACAGGCTTTAGTTACTGTCCGATAAAATTAAGTTATCTCAATCGGGTATTAGTATATAGCCAGTCACTGATGATTAGACGATGTTATTCTAATGTATATATAGTGGCTGTTAGCCTGTATATGTAGATGATTTTGCAGTCGGGGTTGTCGCTGATGTAGGCTGGGAGAATCGAGTAGTGCATGTGCGTGGCTTGTGGCCATGAGTCTAGGCTATGGCAGCGCGTCCATGATCTTGCTCCCCAACCCAGCGGCGAAAAGCTACTCCATGAACAGGACACGGTCGCCGGTCGTGCGGGTTGAGGCGGAGGAGCGGATGCTGCACACCGTCGGCGGCGGCCGGCGTGGGTGCGCGCGCCGCGCCATGGTGGCGAAGGCGAGGGCCTTGAGCCACGTGGTGCCGCACTTGGGCGGGCTCGCGAGGACGACTTCGCCGCGGCGCTGGATGGCGATGATCCCGGGCACCCACGTCCTCTGCACCCACACTTTGGTAGCAATTGAGGCGCATCTTGGGGTTGCTAGGGAGCGAGGAGATAATGCTCTTGTACTCTTCCAGCAGGCTGGGGTTCACCGCCGGCACGTTGCCGGCGGCGAGGCGTGGTTGAACGTACGGCAATGGCACTGGCCCCATAGCAGTAGATTGGTCGGTGGTGCTAGCCATGGTAGGTACAATTGGCAGAGCGCCATAGCCTCTCCAACACCGTAATACTATGTAGTATTACTACACAATCTCACATTCAACCAACGAAGTAAAATGCATACAACGGAGTTGTTGGATTACTTGGGATCAATATAGGCGTGGAACTCTCGGACCCAGGGGCGGGCCTAGGATTTTGAGATTGGGTATTCGGAATGAAAAAGGGTAAAAAAAACTGTTTTACAACACGAACACAATATTTGGTACGTATGATCAATAACATGGTACTACCTTCGTTTCAGGTTATAAGACTTTCTGGCATTATCTATATTCATATAAATGTTAATGAATCTAGACACACATATATGTCTAGATTTATTAACATATATATGAATGTGGGTAATGCTAGAAAGTCTTATAATATGAAACGCTTATTGAATTAGAACTCGCGACATGGTTTTTAGCAATTTCCTTGATTTATTGTGATATACTTTGTGAAAAAACATATGCAGTACAATCTACTAACCAAGTATATATCGATTAGCATCAATCACAGCACGGCTAATGCACAAATTAGGCAACCATGCAAATTGGGTTTGAATTTGAGGGAGCCAGCCTGCTAGGCTTTCTTGTTGGGCTTCTTTTGATCAATAATGTTTATTTTCTTTATTTTTCTGCTATTTTTTTGGTTTAAGCTAAAAATTATGTCGACAGAATTTTGACCTTATTATAGCCGATTTTTCAGCCGCTTGATCCTCTGATATTTGTGCAAGAGCAAGGCAGGATGTGGACTTTAGAGCAAGTTTAATAGTATAGCCAACTAATAGCTACAAATCATCTATAGCTAATGTAATAGCTATTTCATATAATAGTTGCTTACTATACTATTAATATCTAATCCTACCTGTCTTGGAGTCCGTGCTGCAGCTAGCTACAGGTCTGTAGCCCGCTGCTTTTCTCTCTCTTTTTTTTATCTTTTTAAAATATATTTATAGCTGGTTTATAGCCTGCTATTGTACATGCTCTTAGAGCAACTCATGTACCTCTTCAAGGCCAGCGGCATAGGCGAGCAACGGACATGCCACGTTGACAGTGTAATTTTACGGTGTGTTTGACTACATTAATTGGTAGATTTAGTAGTACTACTTCTCAGTTAAGAAAAAGGTAAATACTACTCCAGTAAAATAAAGGGTTTGTCAATGACATGTGGTTCAGGGTGGCATATTACAAATTTTGTAAAATTTGTGTGGTATGGTTCAAATTCTCCCAATAAAGAAATAGTAAGAACCAGCACGGAACAACAACCTCGCCCATCATGACCAAGACGGGTCGTCCTTCGCTCTTCCGGGATCACGCGTTGGGGTCTTGGTAGAGATGGCAACGGGGAATTCACTGTCGGGGGTTACGTCTGCGTCCCCGTCCCCACGGTGATAAAATTTCACCGTCCCTGTCACCGTCAACAACGATGGGGCTACATTTTACCCATCTCCAATCCCCGTGCGGTGAATTTATCCCCGCAGTTATCCCATCCCCGCTTAAACAACAAATCCATCTCCAAATCAAGAGTACATATCTCATCAATATTTTTCTAAATAATTCACTCAACAACTGTAGGCCACAGTATCACAAATCACCATTACACCATATCAATATATATCCAAAATATTTCACTCAACAAATCAACAAATCATAGGATCATTCATCTTTGCTTCATTTGGGATTGTAGCATTGTGCTGACCTAGCTTCGTGGCTAGAGGCAGGCGACAGCATGAAGAAGGCTGGAGGCAGCGTGCTCATCAATGGCTGGAGGCGGCGGGCGGCGTGACGACGGTTGGAGGCAGCAAGCCACGCGACAACGGGTCGACGACTGGAGGTGGCCGGCGGCGTGACGGCGTCTGGAGGCGGCCAGCGATGCGACGAGGGCTGGAGACGGCGCGCTCGTCGATGGTTGGAGGCGACCGGCGGCACGGCGTCGGCCAAAGGCGTCGGGACCCCGCCCACGCAAGGGGACGCGGTGGCGCACGGCACGCGCGTCTAGAGCAGCGGCAGCGTCAGCGGCGGCGCTGTGGAGTGGAGGACTCTAATGGTGTGTGCTGTGTGGTGGAGTGGGGATTGGGGAATGGAAGGGCTGACTAGGGTTAGAAACTATATATATATATATATATATATATATATATATATATATATATATAGACACACACACACTTTTGTTGTTGGGCTTCAATTTTATGGACCAAAACGATTATAAAGTCTAAAATAGCTCCCTAGCTACAGTAAATGCTGGTCACCTCGGGGGATGGGGACGGTGAATGGAGCACCGTCTCCGCCCCCGCCATCCCCGATAGTGATAGGTTCTGGACCATTAGATTCACCATGGGTGGTAGATATCAATCATCCCCGTCCCCTAATGTGTGAAATCACCGCGGGGAATCGGTGATCGGGTCTCCATTGTCATCTCTAGTCTTGGGGACGACGCATTCCCTTCCTCCTCTCATCCCCTCCCTCACACGCCGCGACGCCTCCTCCTCTTTCCAATGAGCAGCCAAACCCTAGCACCGTGCAATCCTCACTCCACGGCGCCGCGCAATCCTCTACGTCGCCTCCATGTCCTCCTTGCCGGCGCTGGCGGCAGCGCGGGATCACGCCACGTGAGAGCTCAAGCGGTGCCGCCGCACGTCACTTCGGCAGCGCTGGGGGGGAAGGATGGGGACGCCGGAGGTGACGGCGACGGAGCGAGGCGGCTGGTGAACATGGATGCCCAGAAGCAGATCAGGATGGGTGATTCGCTACCAATTGTGCCGTCGGTGGCATTCATCAGGGTTCATCCGCAGGCTGAGGTAAGAAATCTGTGTTCTCGCGGTTGTTTATCATGCAGATTGGATGGGAAAATGACCTCTTTCCCTATGGCATGGATCCCTTCAGATAATCAGATTGCTCATATTGTTTCCCTGTGTTTGATTCTTCATACCTTTTTTTTTGTTTCTTTTTGTCAGCAGTGAAAGCAAACCAGGGGACTATATGTGCATTGGAGGGTGAAGCTTGGTGAGATGCATTCATCTGTATTAGGACGTGCGTGTTCCCTTTGTGTTTGTTACAGTAGTTTATATAGGATTTGGAATAAAAAAGGGGACAGTTTTATGTGCAGGGGTGCTTTTGGCTGCGGGGTGTCCTTGTTCCCAAATTCGATGGGCACAGTTGTCTGGACCATGTCAAAATCGCCACAACCAACATCTTGGTTGTGCTACAATGCATCTGCATTGCGATTGGGCATCTACTGGAAAAGAACTGGTAGGTCAATGAATCCATTACCGTGCTTGTCTTGCAAGGATAGTTCTCTCGCGTTTGCACTCCAGGTGTTTGTAGTTTTTCCTTACGGAAGGGTAGTTTCGATTCTGCTCCATGGCTTGCAGGGGTTGATCACTAGAGGTGTGCTTCATGCTTGTCAGTGCTGGGAAGAAAATTCACACATTCCTGTCATCCTGTGTCTGGTGAGGACCTCTTCTTCATCTATTACTTCCACTGATCAGTCTTCAATTCTGGGCAAACTTTCTATGTACCAATAGTTCGTGTAGTTAGCTCCCAACCAAAGTGGAATTTGGTTTCTGTTCTGTACAGGAAAACAAGGTGACAATGTGACATGTCTTAGTTTAACTTGGTTTTGGCTAATTTAATCTTGACAACGAAATGCACTGTAGTAGGAATCACTTGAGAAATTCATGTATTTCATATATACACATGATGAAACTATTTTTTGCAGTTGTGTAAGATTTTTTTTTATCTCTGAATTTATCAAAGCCATATTTTTAGAACTTTCTCAAACCCATGTAATTTCTGAATGTGAAGGTCCACTTATTGAAATGGATGGATTAGTCAACTACCCACCCATTCCCATAAAACTGTACTAAAAAATAGATTAAACAATCTTGACTGCCCTGTCCCAAAACAATTTTTTCCCCCTGAAATACAGACTTAAAAGGATTGCATCACAGTACTATCTGGAGCGCTTTTAAATTTAGAGGACTTAGGTGCTGAGTGCCAAGTGCTGGATGCGAGTAAGCTTGATCATTTAGATTATTTAGAGAATCAGCATCCTTACTCCTGCAGTAACTGAATTCTAATGTGAATTTCCAGTGTTTTCTTTGGATTAGCTAATAACATAAACTTTTAGTTGAAATATATATATCTTTGAAATCACTGGTAGAATATTTGTTTCATTGTAGCCATCTAACCTTTTTCTCAATGAATTGTATCAGTAGTTTTCTAACCTTTTTCTCAAACTTGTACATGAATATATTTTTTTTCCTGGTGAAATTTCTGAGGCCAATCTTTCTGATCTATAGTTTGGCTGCCTTTCTATCAGACGCCTTAGATTAAACTCATGGTTGAAGAATTCCTCTGAGAAATTCAGTCACAGATCTTACAGGCTATTTTATTGGCTGTAATTTATGTACCTTTGGTCTCCATTGTATCCTGATGAATTGAGAGGCTGCATCCAAGGGTAAAATGCGATTATGTGCATTGTGGTAGTGATCATGCTGCATTCCAGGTTATGTTGGCTTGATGAATTCATTACTATCAATGTATGTAACCTCACCTCTATATCTCCTTTTCTTTTTCTCATTTTCCCCTTAATCATGTAACGTTCTAACTTATTATTTCTATCAACTAAATGGCTATAAGGTACGGCTGCTGTACCTTCTTATGTTAAGAAAATCATTTTGAGTACCTTCAAAGGACACACAAAATAGGATCAAGTTTATATTAACAAGAGAGTTACATGTGTAGGTAAATCATGTGTTTTATTAAACAGACATCCGTTGAAGGATCATTCGACAAGTTGACAGAGAAAGAACATACCATCCTCTATTATTAATAGACAACATAAGTTATTTACTATTTTTCTGCTACTTTACTAAATGGGAAATTTTGTTTTACGAAACTTGTATATCTTACCCAACATCCTATTAAAACCGTCACACTTCAATCAATCAATGTAAAATCCAACATTGTTGCAGCTAGGTTGACAGTCAGATATTAGCATATTACTATTTCTGTGCATCCCTCTACAGAATCTAATTACATCCGTGAAATCTGATAGGCCGGATACTATTAAAGGCCACAAGATGTTCCATTCATGCCCCAACATCTCCCTCCAACTCTATTTCCTAGCGAAGATTACCCAAAGGTAAATACGCAGCTTTACAATATCAGTTGCAATGAGTTGACTAATTAATGATTGTTGAGGTTTTGAGCTTTTCTTGCTTTGTTGTTTGGTTTTGTGCTCTTTTGCATCATCAGTCTGTGTGAATGATGCAATATGGAAGATGTATTTCAGCGACTTGCTTCCACTATCACTGTAGATGACGATGATGTCATGATGGCAACTAACATTCTAAACGAACTTGTTTAGTACATCCGTGAAAGATAACGGAGCACCATCTTCAGGGTCCAGACCAGTAGTTCGATTTCTTCAAGAATCCTGAATGTAGTTAGATTTCTATACATATCCCACCAAGCTCTAAACATGCCATTGTTTAAAACATATTTTCAGACATAGGAAGCCTGCTCTAGCTGCTTTAATACTGCTGTACACCCAGCAGCTAGGGCAAGTGTAATCTTCCAAGCAGTCATCAGCAGAGTATAAATCCTTCCTGTTACACTGAAAATATGAACGGATCTGCACATTTCGTTAACTCAAAAGTATGAAAAAGTTACTCATATGCTAACTGAAGTATTGATCCAAACTAAAGTTACCAAAGCAGCGAAAAGCCGAAAACATAAGAAAAGCTTAGTGGCCCATTGGAGACAAATCAATAGAGCACACAAGAAGCATGTTACCATGGACATGTTCAATAGGCACCAAACATGCTATATATCCGTATATGGTATCCTCAAGTACTATCATCCTAAAATCTAGGTTGCTATCTATTGTTATGAATAAGAAGCTAAAAAACCAGTGCAAGCAGAAAAGCTTGAGTCGGACCATTTTTTAGAAAAGTTTAGTGTTCATGCTCTTCTATAATAGTTCTGTAAAAAAAATACTATTTTTTCCCTGACAAACTCTTATAATCTCAAATTAATCAGTTCAACCAGTATTGAACTCCCAAATTAATGAGCCCGACTGGATATCTTACTGAACAGAACAAAAAAAAAAATGCATTAGATGCTCAAATGCTTGAGATTTCCATCATGTCATTCATCATGAAATTCCCTCTTCCAATACATGCAATGGCAAAAGCAGTGAAAGAACAACTATACAGGACAGTACCTGATAGGATGAGGAAGAATAATTATCAACTGACTGGAAGGCGGCCAACGTTTGAGGTGGAAGAGTTGTCTTATTCAAATAAGACAGTGTTTCTTCAGTCTGATCAGAAGTTCAGAATGCATTACTAACCATTTTTTTTCAGAAAATTAGTTTGTCCAATCAAGCATTTAGAGGCCTAATGGCTAATTGACCCCTTTCATGGGACTGGACAAAAATCTAACCAAAAAGAAATTATCACTTTAATCCATTTTATATTCCTCCCAATGAACATCATGCATGACTCCAAAGGTTCCAGCATCCATTCCATTTCAATTTCAGAGATTATAACCAGAATATGAGATATAGCTTTATGCAACGAGAAGACACAGCAGAATAGCCTACCAAGACACCGGGTTGGGTAGTTGGCGAACATGGCCATGGCAGTGCTCTCACTGTCGGGAATGATTAGCGAGTCGAGCCCCTGGAGCCCTAGAAGCTGTGTCAGCTTCACCACCTCCACCCCCTCACCTCGATCCTCCTCAGCGCTGCACCCACCGGCCACAACCGTATAAAGCCATCAATAACCCAAGCACGCAGCATCAAAGCAAACCATACCGACCATGCTCGTTGTAGGAGACATGGGCGTTGGACTTGAGGCGGAGCGCAGGAACAGACGCCAACGCCGATGGAGACCTTCACAGAGAGGGATCGGAGGAGCGTCGTGGGACGGACGGGGATGCGGTGACCCGTCTTGGTCCGAGCAAAGCGCACGGTGAGGACCATTGGCTAGGGCCTGCAGATCATCAGTGAGGACCCGTTGGCTGGGACGCGTGATGAATCAATGAGGAGGGCTGGCGCGGCAGATCAGAGCGGATCCCACTCTGTCGGTGGTGTTGCTGTTGGAGTTAATTTATTTCTAGAACATACCAGCCTACTCTCTAACCCTCTCTACTACTCGTGAAACTAAAGTCAAGGTTGAAGTCCTTGCTCTGTAAATTTTCTAGAACAGTGTAGTGTGTAGACATGCATGATGTGATTTTACAGTAGTACTAGTACCAGTGAAGTTTGACAATGTAGTAGTACTACAAGTCTCTAGCTAGGTCCTGAAGCTTCCTACATGTCGGTTTATCAAGCCTATAAATAGAAAGCCAGTGCATGTGTATAGACTGATGATGGTGTGCTGCCCAACGTACAAGCAAGTGTACTGTTCAGCCCTCAAGCAAGCAAGTAAAGAAACCAGTTAAAACTAGCACAAGCTTCTCTGCTCCTCTTCTCTGATCCCCTGCTTAGGAAATATTTAGCACCAACAACTGGTATCAGAGCGCCCAGGTTCGAGTAGGGCGTGACGGAGTAGCACGGCGTATCGGTATTGTCAATTGAAGCTACAAGTATGGCTTCAAGTTCGGGCGCCACAATGGCGCAGTCTATGGTTCCTGTATTTGCAGGAGAAAATTATGATATATGGAGCATCAAGATGCGGACGCTGCTGCTATCTCAAGGATTGTGGGATATTGTTGAGAATGGCTATCAAGAGTATTCCGCTGGAGAAACTCTTACGGCGGAACAGAAAAAGTCTTTGGCAGAGGATCGGATGTCGGACGCCAAGGCCTTGTTCTTGATCCAACAAGGAGTTGCGGAAAGTCTATTTCCGCGTATTATTGGCGCCAAGAAATCCAAGGAAGCATGGGACAAGTTGAAGGAGGAGTTTCAAGGATCTCAGAAGGTACTTGCGGTGAAGCTTCAAACCTTGAGAAGACAATTTCAGAATTTGCTAATGAAGGAGTCAGAGAAGGTAAAAGACTATTTCTCAAGAGTTATTGAGATCGTTAATCAGATGCGCCTCTATGGTGAAGATATAAACGACCAGAAGGTTGTGGAGAAAATTTTAATCAGTCTGCCTGAAAAATACGAGTACATTGTTGCTGCTATTGAGGAGTCGAAAGACTTGTCGACTCTCACAATTCAGCAACTAATGAGCTCGTTGGAATCTCACGAAGAAAGAAAGCTTCAGCGCGAAGGGAGCTCTATTGAAAATGCATTTCAGTCAAAGTTGAGCTTCAGGCCTCAAAACTCAAGGTTTCGCGGAAATTTTCAAAAAAATGGATTTCCAATGCGAGACCGTGGTTATTTTCAGAAAAATGGCTTTTCCAGGCAGAAGGAAGATGGTCAAGAGAGAAGAGAAAAAGGTACGTCCAGTTCAAATTTGTGGTGTGACATTTGCCAAAAATCTAGTCATACTACAGATATGTGTTGGAAGAAAATGACCTGCAACAAGTGCAAAAGAAAGGGCCATATTGCAAAATATTGCAGAACTCGAGAAATTAATCGGGCTAATTTTTCACAAGAAAAGGAAAAATCTGAAGAAATGGTTTTCTCTTGCCATACTGCTCAAGAAGAAAAAGATGATGTTTGGGTTATTGACAGTGGTTGTACAAACCATATGGCCGCTGATCCAAAT